GGGTCAAATGGTTATCATGCATGCACTTTAATGCTACTTAAATATTAGCAAGATTTCTCTTGAATAAAGCCCCGCTAACTGATGCCAAACTAGTATGGATAACTGGGTAGCTTCCCCTGTTAATCCAGGAAGACGCACATGTTGTTTTTGTGCTGCTGTTTCTTAATTAATCAAAGCACTCCTTACCGGTATATAGAAAGTTTCCTTCACCAAGAAAACAAAACCTAGGCAGTCAGCTTGGCAGAAAACGTTAATGTTTAAAATATACCTCAAAATGTTTTGATGATGCATAATTAAAAGGGGCTACTTGTTGTGGTTGCTGCTGCTCCTATAACTTACATTATTATACATTGTCTCTATTAATGTTGCCGTTCGTAATGGTGATGATTATTATTTATTATGTTAGCCTACCTGCTAAATTAGCTGATGTTCAAATTGTTGCTTGTCTCGGGTTTGAGGTGGGTGGGTGGGGGGAGGGGGAGTACGGAGGAAGGGGGGGTGGATGGGTGGAGTGAGCAGGACAAGAAGGGTGGTGAAGGTGTTCAACAGCCACACACACACAAAAAGAAGGAGCGCTCTTAATATGACCTTGTGCAGTTGTGGGTGCCCTAAAACTCTTACCAAAGAATTTTTTAAGGGGTGGGGAGAATGGAAAGGGAAGGGGAGGGGGTGAAAGGAAAGGGAGGAGATGGCAGGGGGTGGGGGTGCAGGTGTAAGCCAAAAAAAACAACAAAACAACCAAAGTGTTATGAAGCAGACTCGTCATGGTTAGGGTGTGTTTGTTCCAAACGATACTCACATCTGGTGTCGGACGGTGTCTCGGTGAGCGCCGACATGAAGTCGTAGTCGTGAAACCCGCGCTTTGTGGCCGGGGATTTGCCCGTCACTGAACCGGGACCTACAGAGTTGGGAGTTCCAGTCTAGGTTATGCTAGTAATGCTTTTGAAAGCCACTCACTAACTCCTGACAGAAAGGCGTCTGAGCCGGGACCTAAAGAGTTGGCAGTTCCAGTCTAAGTCATAGTAATAGTTTTGAAAGCCACTCACTAGATCTAACTCCCGAAAGAAGGGCGTCAATATTGTTGCAGTGAACGGGTAGATCACCACGGGCACCGAACACAATTTTAAAAGGGGGAGGGAAGGTTCGTGGTGGAAGGAGACATGGGGGGGTGAGTAGAAGGTGTATGGTGTTCACTTTTCTTCCTATCGCGATAAAAATGATGACTTTTCTGTAATAAAGCTTTACAGACAGTCAGTTGGAGAGAAAGAGACTGGGAGACTGACAGATAGATCTACAAAGTGGGCGAGAGAAAGATAAAGAAATCATAATGTTCGTCGTTCACAAGAGTTATCCTTTTTTCATGTTTCCCTTCTCCCCCCC